TTTCCGCGGGATGCCGACTGACCTCGGATGAATGTCAACGGGCATCTTGCCGACAAATTACAATCAAAGAAAAAAAAACCTTAATTGCAGCTGTAGTTATGGTAGACGTATTTTGCACGATTTCTTAATTGTCTTGATTCCATCAGTGCTGTAAAATATAATCATCAAGTGCTATTCTGTTGTGTGTTTAGAAAGTTGGTAATCCACCCATCTTTTCTAAAATAGGTAGTGGATGAGAAACAACTGTGTTGCTTTCCATGTCTTGGAGGGGATACTTGCTGTTTAACTCAGCAGTTAAAGGCACCCCCCAAAAAACACTGTTAGCATGTACGCTATACTAACCAGAATGATATACACAGAACTGGTCGCCAGCCAATCGCAGGACGATTTACACTCACATTCACACCGATGGATGATTTAGTCTTCAGTTAACCTACCACGCATGTTTTTAGAAGGTGGTGAGCAACCAGCATGTATCTGTAGAAAACCCCACACAGCTATGGGAAAAACATGCAAACGCCACACAGGAAGGCCGAACCTTTGAGGCAGATGTGCTAAGCAGTTGGCCACCATGATGCCAGAAATAACTCGAGAAACGTCTGTGGCCAGTGTTAATACACAAGGACATGTTGTATAACTCAACGTTGAAACAGTTTGTTAGCATTTTCTACGTTTACAAGCATGAGAGCTTTCTAGTATGCTAGCTCAACAAAATAGCTCGATATATAGTACAGATATTTGAAGAGATTTTGACCTAAAAATGATATGTTACCACTTTCTACATTGATTATCTTAAAATGCACCATTTGAAGCCTTGAAGTTTATGTGTTTGCATTTACATTATGTTTAGATGCATTGAACATGCGTACCCCAACAATTGACTATGGAAATGCTTAATTTAGTCTCGAATTCCACCTTTACGAGTAGACAAAGATAGTCAGCAAAATATTAGTGTTGCATTTGATATATTGGAGTGACACTTGTGTAACTTGACATTTAAACATTTTAAAAATGGGCTCGCTGGGCATTTTCCAGCTAGCTCACAAGAGAAGTCACAATGGTAAACATTCCATTTCAACTTTATTAATACACAGCACAAAAAAATCAATTTTGCATTCCAGTGGGATACATGTTGTGCAACTTAAATGACACACACAAAAAAAAAAAACTGTTTTAGTTAAGTGTCCAGCTAGCTCCCCAGATTTCTCACTCAACACTTTTAGTCCATCACTGAAACGTTATTAAGTTAATAAGTCATACACAACACAATAGACCCAGATGGAGAGACCTGGTAACTATGGTTGGCTCTACGCGCCATGAAGTGCAAGAGGACTAAAGAAAGAAAACACAACACATTGCAGTGTGCATTCCAGGGGAATATACACATACATTGTGCAACTTGATATTTTTTCCGAAAAATAAAAAATTAAAATGTTTGTTAGCATTTTCTATGTTTACTGGTGTTGAACATGTGCTCAAGCAAGCTCATGTGAGAGCCCACTATGGAAATACTTAGCATCAAATTAGAGCTTCAATATAGAGCTTAGTTACTTAAAAATGTACTAAAGATTTCTGTTCCATGCATTGGGGAAAGTAATTGATGTGTAACTTGACAAAACATATGTGCCTGTTTGTAATTTCCAGGTCTGTCATGAAACAAGTCATGCAGGAATTGTGACATTTAGACTCAAATGTGTACTTTATTAACACTAGGAGTACATGCAAAGATAGTACAGGACATACTGTATTACAATTTTGCATTCCAGGAGGATACATGTGCAAATTTACATTTAAATGAGAAAAAAATATATTCCTTGACAGTTTACTCGAATTACATATGCGCACAAACTTGGCTCATGTGGGAAAAGCTTCATTTAGTCGCAAAGACAGCTTTATGATATAGTCAAAAAGATATTAAAATGTTCTATTACATGTACTGAGCGCTAGCGAATTTTAAGTCACTGTGAAAACGCCTGACTTTGACCCTAAATCAAGCTTTATACGAGGATACCAAGTGCAAAAAAGTAATTACCATACATGCATTTTCGAATATGCGTTAGAAATGTATTACTGATGTTTTTTTAACGTACCAATTATTTAGTTATGGGCTAACTAGGGTTGTGCTAATATTTTAGCACACGGCTACAACGAAGGCCGAACCTTTGAGGCAGATGTGCTAAGCAGTTGGCCACCATGATGCCAGAAATAACTCGAGAAACGTCTGTGGCCAGTGTTAATACACAAGGACATGTTGTATAACTCAACGTTGAAACAGTTTGTTAGCATTTTCTACGTTTACAAGCATGAGAGCTTTCTAGTATGCTAGCTCAACAAAATAGCTCGATATATAGTACAGATATTTGAAGAGATTTTGACCTAAAAATGATATGTTACCACTTTCTACATTGATTATCTTAAAATGCACCATTTGAAGCCTTGAAGTTTATGTGTTTGCATTTACATTATGTTTAGATGCATTGAACATGCGTACCCCAACAATTGACTATGGAAATGCTTAATTTAGTCTCGAATTCCACCTTTACGAGTAGACAAAGATAGTCAGCAAAATATTAGTGTTGCATTTGATATATTGGAGTGACACTTGTGTAACTTGACATTTAAACATTTTAAAAATGGGCTCGCTGGGCATTTTCCAGCTAGCTCACAAGAGAAGTCACAATGGTAAACATTCCATTTCAACTTTATTAATACACAGCACAAAAAAATCAATTTTGCATTCCAGTGGGATACATGTTGTGCAACTTAAATGACACACACAAAAAAAAAAAACTGTTTTAGTTAAGTGTCCAGCTAGCTCCCCAGATTTCTCACTCAACACTTTTAGTCCATCACTGAAACGTTATTAAGTTAATAAGTCATACACAACACAATAGACCCAGATGGAGAGACCTGGTAACTATGGTTGGCTCTACGCGCCATGAAGTGCAAGAGGACTAAAGAAAGAAAACACAACACATTGCAGTGTGCATTCCAGGGGAATATACACATACATTGTGCAACTTGATATTTTTTCCGAAAAATAAAAAATTAAAATGTTTGTTAGCATTTTCTATGTTTACTGGTGTTGAACATGTGCTCAAGCAAGCTCATGTGAGAGCCCACTATGGAAATACTTAGCATCAAATTAGAGCTTCAATATAGTTACTTAAAAATGTACTAAAGATTTCTGTTCCATGCATTGGGGAAAGTAATTGATGTGTAACTTGACAAAACATATGTGCCTGTTTGTAATTTCCAGGTCTGTCATGAAACAAGTCATGCAGGAATTGTGACATTTAGACTCAAATGTGTACTTTATTAACACTAGGAGTACATGCAAAGATAGTACAGGACATACTGTATTACAATTTTGCATTCCAGGAGGATACATGTGCAAATTTACATTTAAATGAGAAAAAAATATATTCCTTGACAGTTTACTCGAATTACATATGCGCACAAACTTGGCTCATGTGGGAAAAGCTTCATTTAGTCGCAAAGACAGCTTTATGATATAGTCAAAAAGATATTAAAATGTTCTATTACATGTACTGAGCGCTAGCGAATTTTAAGTCACTGTGAAAACGCCTGACTTTGACCCTAAATCAAGCTTTATACGAGGATACCAAGTGCAAAAAAGTAATTACCATACATGCATTTTCGAATATGCGTTAGAAATGTATTACTGATGTTTTTTTTAACGTACCAATTATTTAGTTATGGCTAACCTAGGGTTGTGCTAATATTTTAGCACACGGCTACAACGCTTGAAGTCACCTTCCAAGGAGCGGTCGCTCTGTCACCCTTACCCCCGCGGAGCCGATTGTGGCCGTCGGGCATGAATGGCGAGACAGCTCAGGAAGGTTAAGAGGGCTTTTATGAATGAGGCCGGCGTCACGCTAGTTTTTTTAACGTACCAATTATTTAGTTATGGCTAACCTAGGGTTGTGCTAATATTTTAGCACACGGCTACAACGCTTGAAGTCACCTTCCAAGGAGCGGTCGCTCTGTCACCCTTACCCCCGCGGAGCCGATTGTGGCCGTCGGGCATGAATGGCGAGACAGCTCAGGAAGGTTAAGAGGGCTTTTATGAATGAGGCCGGCGTCACGCTACCGCAGCACAAACATCCTCCTCCGATGCCCTTCGGCCCCTTCGACTGTTTCTCACACACCCCCCACTTTCCAACCGATAGTTAGTTCCCACCAACGCACATTTACGTCCACACACACACACACACAAATCGACACCGCAGAGCCAAAATGGCGAACCAGCATAACAAACGTCTCCATGTTGGCTCGTTAGAGAAGCCTCGTGGATGCTCACGGAAACGAGGCGTTTAAGGCACGTTGACGTTATTTTAACCAACACAAGCATGCTAAATATGGGCTTGGCTACATAAAGGCTCATTTTTCTACCGATGTTTTTTTTTTATGAATGGGGGTATGCAAATGAGGCGCGATTGAGAAAGACATGGCGGATGAGGCGTATCGGATATCTCATATCCTGTGAGACTTCCCCTTTCGGTTAGAGGCACCACACACACACACACGCACAAACACACACACGGAGCTAAAAAACAAAATAACACACGCGCCGATAGGATCAAACCGCGGCCTTTTCTCGCTTTTGTTTGATTTGACGTAGTGAGAGTTCCAAGCACGCTCAGCCGAAGGAAGTCTTTGGAAAACGGGGGGGGGGGGGGGTGGGGGAATGCTGGACGGGGGTCCTTTCACAAAATGTTTCCGATCCACCCACGCTTCTCCTTCTCCTCCTCCTCCTCCTATACCACCACTACCTCCTCGTCGTTTTTCTCCAAACACAACATGCGCCTTTCGAGCTACCCACACAGTCACTATTAGATTCTGTTGTCTTGTAACATCATGAACAGAAGGTATTTATAAAAGTAGTCGAGACCAAGTTGAGCATGAGAGGGGGTGTAGTGGGAGAGCGCAAAGGGGGGTAAAATGGAGGGGTGGGGGTTTATTATACGGTTACTTACTCGTTTGGGTGTGTTTCTTCTTCTATCATGTTTCCTCGCTTCACCTCAGGTCACGTAGCGCGGCGGATGCGTTCTTCTTCGGCCTCGTCATCGCGTCGATCCCCGCTACAAATCCACATTTATCACCAAAGTATCCGACTGGAAGTCTTTTGTGTGCAATGCGAGCCGTCCCACTTCACCTCCCTCCTCTTCTACCTCGCCAGCCAGCTGCTTTTCGATTGCAAATGTCGAGCCCCTCTCCTCCCGATATGCTCCAACTTTTCAGAGGGCCAGCAGGTAGTGTTCGTCCGACGCAAGCTCCCCCCTCCTTGCAGGACAATATGGACTCGCCCTCAGGTGCTGGCTCGTTGTCGTTTTTTTTGCCCCTCTCGCTCCCCCCCAAAATGTCCTCCACACGACGGTCGCTGTGATTATAATGTTAAAATCGCGTCGTCGTCGCCGTGGGGTGGCCCCGCCAGAGCCCCATCTCTTGCGCTGCTACTCCATGTTGGTTTGCGAGGGAGCCAGGCAAGCAGGCAGACAGCCCGAGTCGCTCCAGCGATGCCGGGGGAGGAGAGAGGGAGTTGGAGGAGGGAGCAGGGCGGAAGTTGTGACGTCGGTCTCCAGTTTGGTGTCGGGGCTGCAAGCCACATGCCCCTCCACCCCCATCATAGCTCCGCTAACCCCGATATAGATTACTTTCTACCTCGTCGTGCATAAAATATAGTTTCATTCTCTTATTAACTTGCACAATACTTGTCCTGAGAAAATGAAGAAGAGGAAGAAAGTCACTGGAAACATGTTCATCGAAACGACGTGGTCCCGTAGCTTCGCTGATGTTGTGACCCGCCTCACACAAGAAGCTAAATTACGTTATGGGAATTGCAAATATACACGTTACTAGCAAATGCTTCTTCAAATCAGGCAGGGAATTTTTGAATGCCAGAGGTTGGTAGTTTTTAGACTGGCACAATACATTGCATTCTCCATTAATCGTTCTCGGAGCTGACAACATCAATTTTTCTAAATCAAGCCATGCAAGACATTCCTTGCTTCTCTGAATCTGTTGTATCATCCTTGTCATCACTCTGTGGGTCACATTCCTCAATGTTGCCATGGTCTTTGTTTTTTTTTTCACCCCGTAAATCCGTGAAATCTCAACGAATCAGTCAAGCTCTCAACCGCTGTTTTTAGTTTTACGTTTTTTTTAATAGTTTGTCACCATATGCAACAATTGAAAAATAATGAGCCGATTTCACATAGTAAAAAGCAGAAAGTATAAAGATAAGTTTTGAAGCAAACATGTAGGCAGTAAAAGTAAAAAAGTTGTCATAAAAATAGAAATCTACGAAAGATCAGTAAACAGTACTGTATTTTATTACTTGTGTGTTTGTGAGAATTTGTTGAAATTTTGCTGTCATTTTTAAGGACATTTTTTTAGTTCAAATTTAGACCTGCTGGACCCAAAGTAGAACGTTTTAGGCCTTGGCGGAGGTCTATGTTCATCTCACCTCTGTGTGGCAACATGGAGTTCCAAACTCCACATGCTTGATTATGCAAAAGCCAGATTAAAGAGGTTCAGTTTTAGTGAGACAATCGTTGTGGATTGATCTTTTTCACACCTATTGATCCACTTAAACCGTGAGCAAGTCAGCTGATTTAGTGCCACTGTTTACACCACCACTAAACACTAGACTGCATTGTTTGTTTTTGTAAAGAGGGGCTCAAGTCTGGACTAATCCCCAGACAAGGTTTCATGAGAAAGCGCTATGTTATAGCGTCCTCTACTGGTCATTCTTGCCTCTGTAAAGTACAAAAGTATTGTAATAGGAAACATACTGTTATACATTAATTAAATAGAATGTAAATAATTAAACATGTCGTGCATCATGATTCCATGCTTCAATGCTCCATGAGGGGGAAGTATAATATAATCTTACAAAACTGTAATTCACGTTGAAAAGTTTTCCACAGTTAAGCACACTGAATAAGATGCAGTAATATTCGTCGCTTTTCGCAGAAGATACAAATATGGTATGTTGTCCGTCTACATGTGTTGATGCCAAGTTTGCGTTCAATTATCCGTACTGTCAAGGGTTGGTTATTACTACTGCATCATCAATGCTAGTTTTGTGAGCACGTTTATCGAGTTTTGTACTTCATGTTAGCATTAAGCTAACGAGTTTTTGTAAATGATAACCATTTGGTTTAACTCGCACGATGTGTAGTCCTTGTTGTTACATGTTTATTAATCTTGACTGGGAATGCCACTAACCATCTTGAGGCAAGCACACGGCCTATTTTTCTTTGAAGAATTGTTCCGCTTCTTGTGTGCAGCTTGCTGCTAGCGTTTAGCTCTCCCTTTATTTAAAAAAACAAAACAAAACACACGTGCTCACATACAACTGAAAATATCTCCTACTAAACAAAATACTCTTGTTTTAAAATAACATTTTAGATTTTTCTTGTATGTTTAAAAAACATTTTTTTAAACCAATATTTAATTATTTTTTTCCTGTGGTCCACATTACTCTTGCTAATCGGTAATTAGATCGAAACATCAATTTCATTTTACGATGAGCTCATGAGTAAAAAGAAAACATCTATCAATGCCCAAATACTTAGTTATTCGTGGTACCTTTTCCTCGAATCTGACCTCTCTTTCCACATGGCCAATGAGTGACCACTAAACGAGGGCCAACACTGGCACCATGTGGCTCAAATGGGAACGATCCTAGCGCAAAACTCAGGAGGCCAAAAAAAAATTCTCCGAACTACGAAATTTCAAGTCATTCATTCTTGTCTCTAAACACTAATAGACATACATACGTACACTTCTGTTTGAGATCCATCTCATCATGCCTCTTATTAGTTACATACATCGTTTTCGAAACATGTGGTCTGCTTTATCTCCATGCATTGAAGGCTCAATTAATCCAAAAGGTCTCTACTGTGTGTGCGTGCATGTACAGAAACGCTTTATACGAGAGAAGACCACTCATTCATCACCGGCCGAGTAAACACCAGTGAGTATTTTTCACTGTCTCCAATGGTGATGTATCGAGTAACACGGCCGTAAATTTGGGGACTAAACTGCCTGTTATGACTATACATTTAGTTCTTATTTGACTGGTAAAAAATACATTTGGAGAAGAATGCTATGAATCCAGAGTGTTTTGACAGAAGTGTTGGTATGTAAAAAAAAAAAAAAGTGGAAAAAACTCAATTCTAAGTGAAAAAAATGTCACTTAAAAAACTTTTTGTTAAAAAATGATAAAACAATTGTAATTATAAAAAAAACTCAGAAAAAAATCACAATTTTAAAACTGTAGTCAAATTCAATGAAACTAAAAGAAAGGTGGGATAAAACTAATTAAAAAATAATCCCACAATACAAGAAATCTTGTTATTTTAAACCTTCTTAGAATTCTTCTTCTTATTATTATTTTAATCAGATTTGAACAATTTCTTATCCCAAAAAATAAATTCTCATAATTGTGAAGAACCTGAATTTAAAATACTCATACAGGAAATCTGAAAAATTGTCATACGTAATTGAAAATAATTCCCATAAAATTTAAGGAAAACATTATGCTTTGTGACAGAAACACTTCACATGCTTACTCTATTTTCAGCTTCTGCTCACCGAACTGAGCTCTCAATATCATACTTGAAGGTTTTGAACCTCAGACAAAATTTGGACTGAAATGGACCTAATTTGTCTTTAATTCAAACCACACTGTGAAACCAGAACACATTCATCAGCTCTGACTCCATGACCTCTCTCCATCCCCATGCGCAGCCCCCACGGACCCCCCCAACCCCACCTCCTCAGCCAGTCGGAAACTATCCAGCCAGCGTCTCCATGTCTGTAACTTTTGTACACTTATGAAGCCCAAAGAAGACCCCCGCCCCCTTTAAAATCAACAACACACACACGCACACACAGACGCACGTCTGTCCTACGTATCACAACAGCCCACATCCAGGTGATAAATGAGGTCGCCCCCCCAGTGTGTGGTTGGAGTTCAAAGGTCACCGTAACTGTTTTAGTGGGGTTCGAGGGCATGGAAAAGTCAGCGGGAACCCACTTCCCCTGATTAGCCAGCCTCAGCCACCAGGGGGAGACAGACACTCATGTTATGCTGTGCATCCTTTCTGAGCCATTTCGTTCAAGAAGAATCTTAAACTAGAACGTTCAAATTCAATATGAAAACACATTAGAAAACAAAGACAAAATAAAATCAGAATGAATATAAAAAAGGGACAAATACATCTTGAAAACGCCAATAAAAATAAAACATTTAAAGAATAAAATAAAAATAAAAACAACATCTAAATAAGAAATAAAATAAAAAGTATGATTTTTTTTTCCCCCACCAAAAATATATGTTTAGTTTTCAGAAATATTTTGGTTAAGAAAAACAACAGAAAAAAAATGTAAATTAAATACAAATGAAAAGAAAAACATTAGTTACAGAAAACAATGAATTCAAAAGAAGATTAACAGGAACAAAAATCTAAACTATAAAAAAATGTTTCCACTTTACATAAAATTCATAAAAAAACTAATAAAGATCAAATAAAAAAAAATAAATGCAATTAAAAACAGGAACAAAATGGTTCGCTCATAGCTGACCTCACATTCGTCTTCTTTTAATTTAACTAACAGCGCCTCTGCTGGTTTCTGCTCAGCAATGCACTGACATTTTTCCTCAATGGCTTCAATCAATCAATTTGTAACGATGTGTTAATTTATGTCTTTGCGGGAATCCTTCATCGTAATGCTTCCCAATAAAATACACTCTGGAAGTTAAACATACTGTATTTAGAGACAGTATTTTTACTAATTCTAAACAGATTGTTCCTAGAAATAAAATGTTTTATAAGAAAGGCTTTTCTGAAATGCTGAGTCATTTTGAACATCCTTTGACGTTAGTAAATAAAAATATATTTTGCCCAAGTGTTTTGGCAGAGGCTTGATATGTGCATCAAAGGCACATTTGTCTCACATACCGAAAAGGCTCACGAGCTAAATCATTTTGACGTCTCCAGGAAATGGATGCAAGTCAACGTCCTCTGAAGTGATATGGAAGCATGATTGTGTGTGTGTGTGTGTGTGTGTGTGTGTGTGTGTGTGTGTGTGTGTTGTGCAGGTCAGTCCCGAGGTCATCAGTGTTTAGTCTGTGCTTTTTGCCTGAGTGGTGGCTCCACTTTTCCGTTCGCCTTGCTGAGATTTATTGCCAAACTGTCTCAACTTCGGCCTTTTTTCTTCAGCGCACTGTAGATGTTGTGTGTGTGTGTGTGTGTGTGTGTGTGTGTGTGTGTGTGTGTGTGTGTGTGTGTGTTTATTTCTCCTTTCCAAGTGATTATCCTCAACTATTAAATTGATTCAGAAATGTTATCCCAATAGAGAATGAGGGAACCACAGCCGTGTAAGATAACATTAGCTTGTGTGTGTGTGTGTGGGTGTGTGTGCGCGTGTGCGTGTGCGTGTGTGTGTTTTGTCATTTCTATATGCGTATCCTCAAACATTTCGATTTTGTGGAAATTTCACCCCAGAGGAGACTGAGGGCGGTGACAAA